AGCATGGCCATCGTAACAGAAAATACAAATAATGTTTCTAGTTTTCTATATAAATTATATACACACACACACGTACAAACACACACAGACACACGTACAAACACGCACAGAGACACGTACAGACACACACACACAGACAAACAAACATGCAAACCAACAAACATGTTGACAGATTTTGGTTCCGTGTTTGATATTCTTGCTCTTCCTCATGTACAAACTCTTCTCAATCAGAGAGCAACAGTCTCCAGAATTCATCGACCTCAATCCCTTCATCTATAACGGGCCAAACATTACTACCTTTGTCGCGCTAGTATTTTTACTCTCACAACTACAACAACTACTACTTCTGCTACTGCTGCTGCTACCACTACTGTCGCTGCTGCTACTACATTTACTTCTACTACTACTGCAGCAGCAACAAAAAAATAATAATTTCTAATTTAATTTGAAAAAAATTTTTTTTATTTATTTATTCAAAACCAAAAGAAAACCGCACAATAAAAAATAGCAGTCAGTGGTCTTCGGAGACCAAATAGGAAACACAACTTGCATAGCACACCCACCGTGTCACTTTAGTAACGGGGGAAAATAAAGAGAAGATGAAAATAACATGAACGTCAGAGCTGTCATGCTAAGTTATATATAGTTATTAGGCGTCCTTCGACAAAATGCAACCAAAACAGCGAAATAAAATTTAAAGTGTAATTCTCGACATAAAAGACTGGCAACAAAATAAACGAATATCTCGATTTATGAAATTAAATTAATCTGTCGATATTAATGATAATAATGATGATGATGATAATGATGATTATAATAATAAATTAATGATAATAATGTTGATGATGGTAATAATAAATTCATAATTTTTTTGCAGCTCTCGACGCGGCGACAGAGCCGACGACGAGAAGATTGTGAACACGTTCAACGAGCAGCTGGGATTTTCAACAAGATGTCTTCCTGGTCATAGCTTAGAGTGAGAATAAGTTGCTTGATTGGTTGATTGGCTGGTTGGTTGGTTAGTTGAGTATTTGAATGGCTGGCTGGTTGGTTAGCGATTTATTTGTTAACACTGGCCAATGGTTTGATTGTTTGGGTGGTTTACTGATTGGCTAACTAGTTGGTTGATAAATTAATAGAATTATTGACTATTATGATGACGACGTCATATTATTATTATTATCAAAATTTTTAACTAATAATATTATTAATATTACTAAATTAATTACATTATTATTAATAATATTTCATAATTATTCTAATAATTTCCAGAAAAGCACCTTGTCCGAATGATCGAGCACATCAAGCGTCTCGTGAAAAGTTCGCTTCGTTTCAGCTTTGGAGGCTGGCACACCGCTGCTAGACTACAGCGAGAACTGTGACTGTGACAACAGGACTTACTATTGCAGTTGGGTTTATTATTATTATTATTATTACTATTATCGTATGACATTTACTGTGACAGGAACAAGCTATGATGCTAATTAAATATATTTCACCGTTCTGCACTTAACTTCACAATGAGCAAAATATTCTTAACCTTAATTATTATTTTATACAATTTTTACAAATTTTATCATTGCGCATTATTTAATTAACATTAACTTATATATATATATATATATATATATATATATATATATATATATATATATATATATATATATATATATATATATATATGTATTTTATCATTGTATGTTTTTTATGGTGAAAAATAAAAGACGTTCCCATTATATATAAAATTGAAATTTTAGAGCTTACAATTAGCCACCAAACCAGCCAACCTAGTTTCCTCACGTGAATACAAACGCCATAAATATAAAAACTTGAAATTAAAGTTAAATTCAGCCTATAATAATTGTTCGTTAATTAATAATTCATTTGATATATCGCCTGTTGGTTTTTATAAGAATTTTAATCTAACTTTGTTTAAAATATTTTGGTCGGGATCTTTAAATGAAAAATTGATTAACGCGGTAATTAGCTCGTCATATAGCATATATTGTGACAGGAACACTACTTAACCGATTTTAAATATATTTTTTACTCTCAAGCACTTGCTGATCAGAGAGGCATGAGAGGATCGTACATTATATTCTACATCTTGTTTATTCACACTCTGATATATAATTAATAATTTTCGATTGATTTCATTTGGATTTTATCTTTTCGGTCAATAAATGATTGCTCCAATTAATATTGTTATCATTGTATATGTAGTTACGCTTTCTCGCCTGTTGAATTCCCAATTGAAAATTTTCTTTAATAATAATAATTTTGTCATATATGTCTTTAATGATATTAATTATTATTATTTCTTCTTTTTATTTTTCTAACAAAATTGATTGATTGAATTATATTATTATTATACAATAACTAAACGATTTATAATTATACAAATTACATTTTTTTAATTTAGAAAAAGGACCGAAGATAAACAAACCAACAGAAACAACTTGGTCAGATGGTTTGACCATAGTCGATCTATCACAGCATAAGTATTGTATTTATAGCTGCTATATATTTATATGTATGTTGGAAGGAGACCATATGTATATATATACAAAATACTCTCTCTCTCTCTCTCTCTCTCTCTCTCTCTCTCTCTCTCTATCTCTTTCTATATAAATATATAACTTATATACACTGTATTTATGAAATCTACCGAATTTTTAGCGTAGGATAGTTCAATTACATTACATTTCTCGATATTTCGAAACCAATTTCTTGTGGTCATTATTTATTTTATTAATGTTAGAATAATATACAGTACAGTTTTCCAATTCATTCCTATGTGTATCGGACCTATTTCAATTCTTCAGTCATCTTCAGTACTTGTTGCTGATTGTATGGAGAATTCAAATTTATATTTATTTATTTGTGTGTGTGTATACACTGGCTAATTATTATATTAGAAAATATTATGACTAATTGATTGGTTGGTTGGATGGTTGATTGGTTGGTTGGATGGTTGGTTGGATCGTTGGATCGTTGGTTGGTCGGTTGGATGGTTGGTTGGTTGGATGGTTGGTTGGTTGGATGGTTGGTTGGTTGGTTGGATGGTTTGTTGGTTGATTGGATGGTTGGATGGTTGGTTGATTGGATGGTTGGTTGGATAGATGGTTGGTTGGTTGGTTGGATGGTTGGTTGACTGATTGGTGTAATGGTACATCCCCAGAATTTCAAGTTACCTACTTCAGTCTTTCTACAGTCTTGAAAATGTCAGGTAGTCAAAATTAATTTTCTCTATTTAATACGGTTTCGATACGGTTTTATTTGTATTTTTTATCATTGCTGTTGTTGTTTCATTTAGTTTCATTATTATTATTATTATTATTTTTATCTTCATCATTTACGTTAGCATATAAATGGTTATACAATTTTTTTTATCATTATTTTAATCACCCTTCATTACGATTGCTATTTCATCATCATCGCCATTATAACACCACCATCATCATCATCACCATTATCACACCATCATCGTCATCACCATTACACGCCACCATCATCATCACCATTATACCATCATCATCATCATCATCATCATCATCATCATCATCATCATCATCATCATCATCATCATTATAACATCATTATAACATCATTACCATTATCACACCATCACCATTAACACGTCATCATTATCATCACCCTTATCACCATTATAACATCATCATCACCATTATCACGCCATCGTCGTCATTATCGTCATCACCAGATATGGCGGTTTTGAATTTCAGGACCGACCGTTCTCCAGTTGTACCGAAGACCGTCAAACCGATACCGGTCTGGGTATGCTAGTCGGTAACATTGTCTTCCTAGTCGGTAAAACATTCACGCTGCAGAATGACAAATTTATGGCTAAAGCTTTTTATGATTTCTGGAATAATGTCAGTATGAGTAAACCATGCCTCAATAAGAGTTATATTAAGGTTGGTTTGGTTGGCTGGTTTGGTTGGTTGGTTGGTTGATTGACTGGTTGGTTGATTGATTGATTGACTGGTTGATTAGTTGATTGGTTGACTGGTTGATTGATTGACTGGTTGGTTGATTGGTTGACTGGTTGGTTGATTAATTGACTGGTTGGTTGGTTGATTGGTTGACTGATTGATTAGTTGATTGATTGGTTAGTAGTTGACTGGCTGGTTTGTTGGCTGGTTATGTCTGTTGTGTTGATTATTGGTCATCATCATCACCATCATCGTCACCATCATCATCATTATCATTATCATCACCATCATAATCTTCATCATCACCATCATCAGGTATGGTACGACTCAAGAGGTATACAGGCCCTTCCAGTCTACATAAACGTCATTCACAATGCCATCTTGAGGAGCAATGAGGAGACGAAAACCGGCGGGATCATCGCGAAGAGTTCGCCATTCAAAGTTGTGTCTAAATCCGTTGATCAGTAATTTTTTGTTTGTATAACTGTCTGTCTTTTTGTTTGTATGTTTGTTTATTTGTTTTTGTATGTTTGCGGTTATAATCAACCAACCAATCATTTTATCAACCAACCAAACAACCAACCAACAAAAAACAAACCAACCAACCAAACAACCAGCAAACCAACCAGCAAACTATCCAACCAATCAACCAACTAACAAAAAACAAACCATCCAAACAACCAACCAAACATCCAACCAACAAAAAACAAACCAACCAACCAAACAACCATCCAACCAACAAGCAAACCAACCAATCATTTAATTAACCAACCAAAAAACCTACCAACCAACCAACCAACCAATAAAAAACAAACCAACCAACCAGCCAACCAGCCAACCGACCAATCAATCATTCTTTTTCAATCATCAAGGGATGACTTAGATGGGTTGATAATGACTTATTACGTTTATGCAATCGTCATCGTCATGATCGCGCCGAGCTTTGCAATTTTTTGTGTCGATGAATCTAGCACCGGCTTCAAACACTTGCAAAATGTTAGTGGCGTCTCGTTTCTCGTCTACTGGCTTAGCAATTTTATTTGGGATTATGTAAGTTTTTGTGTACGTGCGTGTGCGTGCGTGTATGTGTACGTGCGTGTGTGAAAGTGAGTGTGTGTGTCTGTGTGTGTGTGTGTCTGTGTATGTAAGTGAGTGTGTGTTAATGTGGATTGTTTTTTAATGTCGTGTCAGTTGATTAATTTTTTCGTTTAAGGTTTGTCGTTCTTTGGTTTTTTTAATTATGCTTACATGCTTACATTCATATAAGAATACAAACAAACATACAAACAAACAAACATACAAACAAACAAACATACAAACAAACAAACATACAAACAAACAAACATACAAAAACTACAAAAACATACAAACAATCATACAAACAAACAAACAAACAAACAGACATACAAAAAACAAACAAACAAACATACAAACAACATAAACACACAAACATATGAACAGATAATGGCAACGTTGTCACTCATGGCGGCTGTGGGTTTGTTTTACTTCATTTTGCACCCAAAGAATTTCATTGAAGACGAAATGTGCCAACACCTAGCCATTGTATCTGCACTTTTGGGGTTGGTAGATGTCTTGTCGTTTGTTTGTTTGTCTGTTTGTCTCTGTGTTTGTTTGTCTCCGTGTTTGTTTGTTCCTATGAGGGTTTGTGTTTGTTTTTTGTTGTTGTTTGCATGCTGTTTTCAACAAAAGAAAATACTTATTTACAAACTTTCACGTATAGACACAAACTCACACATACACGCACACACACACGTACGTACACATACACACACGTACGTACACATATACACACGTACGTACACATACACACACACATACACACGCACACAAATCAGCATAGCCCAAATTCCTCAAGTCTACGTGATGTCAAAACTCTTCAAAGATCCCAGCACAGCTTACACCATCTTGCTCCTACTGGCGATCGCCATAACAGCCATACCCGTGGTCCAGTTCATGATATCCTTGCTGATGAAGAGTGACCGAGATTTTGGGATGGCAACCCTGATCGCCATGGTGATTTTCCCAACGTGGGCGTTCACGAAAGGGGTGCTAGAGGTCGCGATGGAGCAGTTCAAAGAGTTGAAGGCCAAATCTTGTACGTTCGTCCGTTTGTTTGTTTGTTCGTTTGTTTTGTTTGTTCGTTTGTTTTGTTTGTTCGTTTGTTTTGTTTGTTCGTTTGTTTTGTTTGTTCGTTTGTTTGTTTTTTCGTTCGTTATCTTGTTTATGCGTATGTTTATATGTTTACGTTGTTATCATCTTCGTCATCATCATTGTCAGTTTTGTTTCCATCATCATCAACGTCATCATCTTTTTCAATCGTTATTTATAATTCATTCATTCATCCATCTATCTATCTGTCCATCCATCAGTTCATTCATTTATCCATCAGTTCATCCATCCATCCATCCATCCATCAGTTCATCCATCCATCCATCCATCCATCCGTACATCACTCATTCAATCATCAAGTGCCAGAAATGGAGACAGCCGAACTTTCGATTGGGAGCAAGGAGGGTAAGTGGAATGATGTACTTCCGGTCCTGTGCCTCATCTGCGTGGTCTACTTCTTCCTACTCTTCATCATTGAGACTGACCTTAAGTCTATGTTGTTAGTTTGTATGTCTGTTTGTTTGTATGTTTGTTTGTTTGTTTTTTTGTTTATACGTTTGTTTCTTTGTTTGTTGTTGGTGTATGTACATACAACACAGAAACACACCACACACACACACACACACACGCCACACACACACATGAATGCGACAATTTTGATGAGGACGAGGATGAAGATGATGGTGATGATAACATCACGTTTACGACACACACACACACACACACGCACACACGCGCGCACACACACACACGTACGCGCGCACATACACACACGCACGCGCACACACAGCGTCAAGCCAGCAAAACCTGCGGCTGTGGACCATGCAATCGGCGACTCTGATGTTCGCAAAGAAGAAAGCAGGACAAACAGCACTGGACGAAAAGATACCCTGGTAGTCATGGGCGTTTGTAAGGTAGACCATGATGATGACGATGATGACGATGGTGATGTTGATGCTGCTGATGCTACTGCTGCTGCTGCTGCTGTTGCCGATGATGATGATTGTGACAATTTTCACAAGGATTATGGTGTAATTTTGACGATATTTCTTCTGAGCCACAACAACAAACTGCAGTGATTCTAGAAAAGAGCTGTTAACAATCTTCGAAACATCCTCACCCCTTCCATCTTCTCCATCATTACACTGAACACAACATCACCCAGACGTTCAAAGCCCCACTGATCAACCGAGTAATCGGTCGGTTTTTCGGTAAATCGGCCCAGGACCGCAAAGCAGTGATGGGCATAACGTTCGCCGTTAAAAAAGGTGAATGTTTCGGTCTACTTGGAACCAATGGGGCTGGAAAGAGTACCCTTTTTAAGATGATCACCGGTGAAATTAACCCGACTTGTGGAGACGCTTCTATTAATTCTAATAGGTGTGTGTATGTGTTTGTTTGTGTGTGTGTGTATGTGTTGTTTATTTGTTTGTTTCGGTGTGTATGTGTTAGTTTTTTGTGTATATATGTTTGTTTGTTTGAGTGTGTGTGTATGCGTTTGTTTGTGTGTGTGTGTGTGTGTGTGTGTTTGTATGTGGTTTGTTTCAAAGTTTTTTACGTATAGATTTGTTTATTTGTTTGTATGTTTGTATGTATGTATTTGTAACTAGTGCTTATAATTGTAATAAAATAATTATATCTTTTTATAAATTAAAAATTTTTTTTTTATTCAACACAGTGTCACCAAAAATCGCAAAGAAGCGCAAAAATGTCTGGGGTACTGCCCTCAATTTGATGCCCTTTGTTCGCGAATGACTGTGAGAGAACATCTGACCATGTTTGCCCTGTTCAGAGGTTCACCAAAGCCGGAATCTGTATGTGTTCGTTTGTTTGTGTGTTTGTATGTGGGTGTGTGTGTGTTTGCATTTGTGTATGTGTGTTTGTTTGTTTGTTTGTATGTATGTTTGATTATGTGTGTGTTTGTTTGTATGTATGTGTGTTCGTTTGTATGTGTGTGTGTGTTTGTTTGCATTTGTGTATGTATGTTTGTTCATTTGTATGTGAGTTTGTTTATGTGTGTGTGTGTGTTTGTATGTATGTATATGTGTACATGTGTTTGTTTACGTTTGCGTGAATGTGTTTATGTCTGTCTACATACAATTTAAAAATTTTAAATTTTTTTCTCAACTAATACTTTCAAATTATCATCAAAAGTAATTGTTATAATTATCGATGAGTAATATATTATTAAATATATTATTAATTATGGTTATTAATTATGAATTTCATTTTTTGTAAACTCGAGATTGTACAATGGGGCTTGGTGAACTTGGGCCTTACAAAGTTTGAACACTTCCTACCCTTCAATCTATCTGGAGGGAACAGGCGGAAGTTATCCGTGGCCCTAGCTCTCATTGGCAATCCTAATCTCGTCTGTCTGGTTGGTTGGCTGGCTGTCTGTCTGTTTGTTTGACTGTCTGGTTTGTTGGCAGTTTGGTTGATCGGATGTCTGAATGGTTTGTTGTTTTATTGTCTGTCTGTCTGATGTGTTGTCTGTCTGTCTGTCTGTCCATGCCATCATGATTGCCAAACAAAGGATGAACCGACAACCGGAGTAGATCCAGGAGCACGTGCCTACGTATGGAAAGCCATCGAGGGAGCCAGTGATAATGGTCTCTCCGTCTTACTTACTACTCATAGGTTCGGTGATGATGACGACGACGTTGTTTGGTTATGTCTGATCTGATGATGATGATGATGATGATGATGATGTTTGATGCTGATGATGATGAGGGAACAATGATGAATGACAATAAATACTGCTACAAAAGTATGGAAGAATGCGAAGCTCTATGTCACAGAATAACCATTCAAGTCGCTGGTCGGTTGACTTGTCTTGGCAGCATACAACACGTCAAGACAAGGTTATTTCTACGTCATCATCTATCATCATCTACGTCATCATCTATCATCATCTACGTCATCATCTATCATCATCTACGTCATCATCTATCATCATCTACGTCATTATCACCATTTTTTTTGTCATTTTGTCATCATTTTTGTCTTTTTTAACCACTATCAGTCAGGCATTTTTTTCATTTTCATTTCGTCAAGTTTCATCATCTCTATTTCACCATGTCCCAGCATCATCGTTTTTTGTCATCATCATTATCGCCAACGGCTGCGTCGTTACAATTACCATCATCATCATCACCTCATCATCACCTTATCATCACTATCATTATCACCATCTCATCTTCATCACCATCATCATCACCACCAGATACAACGAAGGATACACCATTTCGGTGAAATTTTCTATCCTCCCGAAGCAAGAAATGGCCAATCAAATCGCCCAACTGAAGAGTTTCGTCAAATCGAAGTTGAATTATCTCAATCTGGAAAACTCGTACTACTTCTACTACTGATACTTTATTATTTATAGTGCTAGACGGTTTGATTGTGTAATGGTTAAGATGCGACAGCAGTGACTGGATTCGAATGCGGAAAGATTTCCACCGCATTCCAATTGCAACGTGTGTCTGATGCCTTTGGATTTGCGCCTAATTACATACTCTCTCTCTCTCTCTCTCTTTCTCTCTCTCTCTTTTTCTCTCTCTCTCCTCTTTCTCTCTCTTTCTCTCTCTCTCTCTCTCTCTCTCTCTCTCTCTCTCTCTCTCTCTCTCTGTGTTTCTAAATTTTCTAAATTTGGAAATTGAGTTCATTCATCAGTTGATAAAATGCTTAACACCAAAATAATTATAATAATAATTAAAAAAACACCAAGAAGAAAAATTATTGTAATTATTGTTATTATTACGATTAGGAGTTTCAACTTGCTGACGTACAAAGCCGTCATGACGTCGGCAATGCTTGGCGAGGTCTTCAGCATCTTCTCGAATATTAAGGAGAAAAAAATGATTGAAGATTTTGCTATTAGTCAGACCACGTTGGAGCAGGTTGGTTGGTGATTGGTTGGTTGGTGATTGGTTGGTTGGTGATTGGTTGGTTGGTGATTGGTTGGTTGGTGATTGGTTGGTTGGTGATTGGTTGGTTGGTGATTGGTTGGTTGGTGATTGGTTGGTTGGTGATTGGTTGGTTGGTGATTGGTTGGTTGGTGATTGGTTGGTTGGTGATTGGTTGGTTGGTGATTGGTTGGTTGGTGATTGGTTGGTTGGTGATTGGTTGGTTGGTGATTGGTTGGTTGGTGATTGATTGGTTGATTGAATGATTGGTTGGTTGAATGATTGGTTGGTTGAATGATTGGTTGGTTGAATGATTGGTTGGTGATTGGCTGGTTGAATGATTGATTGGTTGGTACATAAACAAAGGTTTTTTAGAGTTACGATATGAAAATATCTAATAATATAACCAGACATCATCAGCCAATCACAAAACAGTTCGAAACAGACCAACCAATCAAATCGTTTATTTCAAATTTTTGAATTTTTTCCCGCCAACAGGTCTTCATGAAGTTTGCAAATGTAGAAAGAGTATAAGGAAAGATGAAAGAATAATGATGATGATGATGATGATGATGATGATGATGATGATGATGATGATGATGATGATGATGATGATGATGATTGCGAATATGAAGATACTGATGATGATTACGTGATATTATTACAATTACTATTATTAATATTATTATTATTTTTTTTATTATTTCAATCATTCAAATGACACTTGTAAATTCTTTCGCTAAAAAATCCATTTGATCTAAACAAAAACGGCCTATGTATTTTTTTTTCAACTTACAAACTTGTCATTCCTTTCTCTCACTTTCTCTCTCTTTCTCCCTCTTTCTCTCTCTCTCTCTCACATACACACACACACTCACACACACGTAATCTCTCTCTCTCTCTCTCACACACACACACACATGCACGCACAGACAAACACACACGCACATAAATACATACACACCTATAATATTCATTTCATCTCGTAAACTAATAAGCTGGCGGCTTATCTATGATTTAATCCATAAACCACAAACACATACACTTTTTAAAAAAATTATTATTACTATATTTATTATAATTATATATAATGGCCATATTATGATTATAATTGTGGATAATTATGATTAAATTAGGTGGAAAATCCCAAATTTTGGAAGGGGTGGTGGTAGATGACTTTAAAAATAATCCCAAAGGGATGATCATTTTTTCGGCTGAAGTAGATGAATTTCAAAAAATGTTAAGTTAATAGTCTTTCGCTTTACACGGAATTGTCAATATTTTTTACTTTCGTATTAGAGTGGGCGTATGCGGATGTCCCCTGATATGGTGGGGGTACCCGGTCACCCCCGGCTCTAGTGGGGGTAGGCGGCCGTGCCGCTATATCCGTGATATACTCTGTGATTTATAATATGCCACTGGTTGTGTCTAGTCATTTAGATAATTCACACACTTTCTAAAAGTTAACTCAAGTAATGAACAGATCGTTTAAATAGAGAGAGAGAGAGAGAGAGAGAGAGAGAGAGAGAGAGAGAGAGAGAGAGAGAGAGAGAGAGAGAGAGAGAGAGAGAGACAGTTAGAATTTGTATGTGGGATGGAGGAAGAATGGAAGAAGTTTAAAGGTTAAACGAGTGAGAAATATGCGTGTGAGTGTGTATGTAAGTGTGTGCGTGTGTTTGTGTGTGTGTGTTAAGCAACAAAAGGGAAACAAAACTTAAGTAATAAATAAGAAGAAATCCTTATGAATATTTCAATGTTGATTGGACTCTGTGATAAACATTCATTGTTGCGATCTTGTTAATACCCCGGCGGGCATCTGCGTTTGAACCGGGAAGCTTCGTCATCATCGCCGATGTGTCAAATTTGTGGTGTCATTTTGTGACTCTAATCAGTGTCGTCGTCATCGTAATTTTTGTATTTATTGTGGCTATCGTCATCATCCGTTTTTTATTAAGATAAGTGCAAAACAGATTATATCGAGATTACACACATACATTTTTATATAAATCACATGCACACACACACACACACACACACACTCAAATACATACTCACACACATACACACACGCATACGCAAACTTTTTTCACAATAGAGACAACTTTTCAGAATGTTGTTGCAACCTAAGTAGTAGGTATTAGTGGACACCTTAAGATATTGTTTCGTTCTTTTTTTTATCACCATCAAGGTCATCGTCCTTCTCGCCGCCATCATCGCCATTAATGACGTTATTCTGACGTCATTTTCATCATCGTCGTCTTCGTCGTCTTCGTCATCATAAACGTGTTTGATCGTCCTATTTCTCAGCATACATAGTAATAATTCTATCAAATTTTAATGAATGAATATTTGAGTGAATGTGAGAATGTAAAAATGAATGAATGAATGACTGAATGAATGTATGACTGAATGAATGAGTAAATAAATGAATGAACAAATATGTGGATGAACAAAAGGAGGAATGTACCTTTGACTGAATGAATGAACAAATGAATAATGATCGAATAAACTACCTAACGAATGGGTAATTCAAATCAGTAAACAACTGAATGAATGAACAACTGATAAAAAAAATGTAGAAATGAATTAATGAATGAACGAACGAACGAACGATTGAACGAACGAATGAATGAATGAATGGAATTATGGATGAACTGCAAACAAGCCTCCGAAAACGTGAGTCAATCATTAAATGAACGATTGAACGAACGAATGCTTTGATGAATAAATAAATAAACAAACGAACGAACGAACTAACGAATGAATGAATGAACGAACGAACGAACGACTGAATGAATAAATAAATGAATGAATGTATGAACGAACGAATGAATGAATGAATAAATGAACGAACGAACGAACGAATGAATGAATAAATGAATGAACGAACGAAAGAACATACGAACGAACGAATAAATAAATGAATGAATGAATGAATAGCAACAACAACAACTGATTCATTTCGTTACTCCGCCGTAATGTTCTCACCGCACATTTCAAAGATACATAACCTGTATGAAAATACGTAACTATTATTATTATTGTTGTTGTTATTATTGTTATTATTATTATTATTTGCAAGTCATCATCATCATCTACGTTAATTCGGCCTAATTAACTCGCTAAATTATTTGCCAAGTTATTTCTTTCATCACGATCATTATCATTACTACTACTACTACTACTACTACTACTACTACTACTACTACTACTACTACTACTACTACTACTACTACTACTACTACTACTACTACTACTACTACTACTACTACTACTACTACTACTACTACTACTACTACTCTACTACTACTACTACTATTTACAATAATATCACTAATAATAATAATAGTAATATTAATATTAATAATAACAATAATAATACTTGTTATTCTTTCTATTAGTTTGTTTGACTTTCTGAGATGATTTATTTTTGGCTGCAACTTTTTATGCTCCATTTCTTATTATTCTTATCATTATTATTGTTGTTATTATTATTATTAGCATTGTTATTATTATTATTATGGTTATTGTTATTATTATAATTATTATTATTATTATTACTTTTGCTTTGTACGTCGATTTATCATGTAACCTGCTATCAATATCTGATTTTTTTCCGTGCTGTCAAAAATAACAACAACAACAACAAAATAAATAAAAATAAACAAAACAACAATAATAACGATAATAAATAATAATAAGGTCTTATAGTCTTCCAAATTGCAGTTCTTACGTTCAAACCACCAAAATGTATCAACATGATAAAAAATTCGCCAATAAAACCAGCTATTGATACATCGACTTTTTATCTCGGGTTGATTGATTTGAACTTGCTGTCTGGGCCAGTTACAGGTTGGCAGATTGGTTCAAGAGACATTGCAGTTGCTGGTCTCCTCAGTTTGGAATAGTCTTTCACAGGCGTTGAGAAGATCTGGACTTTCGTTGGAATTATTTAAGAAAGAATTGAAAACATTTTTATTATCTGCTAAACCGCAAAAATTGAGAATTGTTTATTTTTTGTTTTTCATATATAGTCACGTACATTTTGCTTTTTAATGTCAGCGCTCATGGAACAGTTGAGTTCGGTGCAAGAGGTGTTGTTGGTTGTTCTGTTCAGTGTACAACTTTTTGAAGGATTTGTGTTTGGCAGGTGTATGACAATTGAGTTGTATGGAGAACATAGGAGGACATACAGCCGAACAAGCGTCTTACTGGATGTGGTTATGTAGGAAGAAAAAGGAATGCGAGTTTAAATAGTTAACAGACGAGCTTGTTTGCATCTAAGGCTTCCAATTACTCAACACTCCCGGATTCGGCTTAGCGTGTTACTTGGCTCATCGATAAGCAAGAGACATCCAACTGATCTCTGGGTGTGGCCCTGTTTCTCTGGAGTGTCAGAAAGTGAAAGGGCCAAAACACTGGTTGATGGAAACTCTTCTTCCGAAGACTTTCTCTTATCGCTCGTTATGCTCGAGTTTCTACATACATACATACGTACATAAATACATACATATATGCATACATACATACACACACATACATACATACAAACAAACATACACACATATACAAGCATACATACATTCATCACATTATAATTTCTTTCCATAATCCGTCTTTACGACGCTCCATTTCGTTGTTAACTGTAATTATCACAATGAATAAGTTATATATATATATATATATATATATATAATATATATATAAATATATATTTCTTTTCTCTCCCTGTCTTCTCTTTCTTTCTTTCGTTTTTATCTCTCTCAATCCGGTTTCTATCTCTTCTGTTTTGCACTTTCATTTTATCTCCATTCTTTCTCCACTCGTCTGTCTGTCTGTCACTCTCTGTCACTCTCTGTCACTCTCTGTCACTCTCTGTCACTCTCTTTCTTTCTTTGAAAGATGTAATAAATATAAATATATTTGGAGCCTTGATGAAAGACGATGGTCTGAGAGATAAAAAATTTTTTTTTATTTTAACAATTGATATATAATTATAAATTATA